GGCAGGTGGTCGCGATCACGCCGTTCGACGGCGAGGAGGCGACCGCCGTCGCCCTCGCAAACGACTCCGAGTACGGCCTCTCCGCGTGCGTCTACACGGGCTCGGCGGCAAAGGGCGCTCGCGTCGCCGCGCGCATCAAGACGGGCCAGGTGCCACATCCGGCGCGCTCTGTCGCTGTCGCCTCCCTCCCACTCCTTCTTACTCTCCCCCCTCCCTGACGGACCGAGGTCGGCATCAACAACTGGCCGCTGATCAACGCCGCCGCGCAATGCCCGTGGGCGGGGCAGAAGGGCTCCGGCTTCGGCTACCACAGCGGCGAGGACGGGTGGCGGCAGTTCTCGTCGCCAAAGTCACTCGTGTACGCGACGGCCGAGGAGGCGGAGGCCGTCTTCAGGGAGCTGGTCAAGTAGTAAGAGGGAGGGCCGAGACCGCGCTGGGGGCGACTAAATGTTTTCTCTTCTTCTCTGACTGTCCGACTTGCTTCAGAGAAATAAATAAATAAAAACGGACACCTCTACTGTGAGATGGGTAAAAAGGAACAGGTCCCCGCCCCGCCTGTGCGATCTTTGTGCAGGGTTCTTATGTGGGTGTGGTCGGCGACTAGCCGGGGTCGTCCTCTCTCCCGATGGGGGACTCTACGGCTTTAGCACACTAGCCGTCTTCCACATGGTCCCTCGGGTCCCTGCTGCTCCTAATCTCTTCGTGTACATCCTCCTGCTGATCTCCGCAAAGTCCTAAGTCCTGCTTCAGAGAAAAGTCACGGGGCGAAATGTCGATTTCTTAACGTTCTGGCAACCCCGTTCTCTAGGTATGCATTCGTATGAACACGGAAATGCACAGGCATCAGGCTGGCGACAATAACAAGAGATAAACATGACATAGCGCGACACGGTACTCAGCCATATGTACTCACATCTCACAACTCAGCTCAGCCGAGGCGTCACCTCAATCACTGTAAAGCGCACCCCGCTGGCCTGCAACTGTTCGCTCCGGCCGGTCGGCAGGAGGAACGTGAGCGGCGGGTAGCACACCTCGCTCTCGTTCGGGAAGCACGAGAGGAAGGCCAGGTCGGCGCCCCTGTCCATGAAGCTGCTCGTGGCAATCTTGAGGAGTAGCGCCGAGGTGGTGGCGGCGCCGTGCCCGCACGAGTAGCGCATCGCCACTGCCAAGTCGGTGGTGGTCGACATGGGCGCCACCTCGGTCCCGCCGCAGGCGAGGAAGGCCTCGCTCGCAACGACATTGCGCATCCCGCGCCACAAGTCGACCTGCGCTCGCGTGCCCGCGTCGACGGCTCGCAGCCTCTTGAGCGCCTCAGCGATCAGCGTCATCGTGACGGGGAAGGGGTAGCCTTGGTGGCAGATACCGTTTGGGCTCCGCAGCGGCAGGTTGAGTGATCGGTAACCCGCTGTCGTATAGAAGCGGAGCGCCGCCACCTGCGCCGCGGTGAGGCCCGCGAGCCGTGCGCTTGCGTGCGAAGCAAAGTCGGCGAGGCGGAGGCCAGACTCACGGCCGCCGTCGAGGACGCCGTTGGGCCACTGCCGCTCGCACGAGCCGGTCGCCGCGTGCAGCACGTACTTGAGGCAGTACCGGTCCTCCTCTGTGCCGTGCGCCTCCACCTCACGCACCATCGAGGCGAAGCCATCGGCGAGGCCACCGTACACGGTCTCCTCAGGCACACCCATGTAACCGAGGACCCCCAGCGCCGCATCGATGGGACGGCCCGTGACGAGCTGGCCGACGAGGAAGCGGTCCGCGTTGGAGGATGTGCCGGGGCTGACGTGGGGTGACGCCCCGACATGCCTCGCCAGCCGTGTGAGCTCGAGCGACACGGGCACCCGCCGGTTCTCCACCTCGACGTGCAGCTGCAGCACGAGCGGGGCGGTGCGCCGCGCGCGACGGATGCGCCAGATCGCTTTGATGGTGGAGCCCCATCCGAGCGCGAGCACGACGCAGAACCAGCTGGCAAAGGCGACGATGAGCAGGTTGGAGAGCAGCAGCGATTTGCAGATCCCGAGCGAGTCTTCGTCGCCCTTGATCGCCTGGAGCAGCGTGCCCTGCACAACCTCCACAGTGACCGCTCGCATCTCGAGCTCGCCGTTGACTTGCGCCGTGAGGGCGCCCAGCTCGGAGCTTCCTTCCGCCGCCGCGCCCAGCGCATCGTAGAGCCGCTCCTCGTCCACCTCCGCCTTCTGCAGGTTGCTGTTGAGCCAAAAGTCGAAGGTGGAGTTGGTCTGGCAGAGGCCGCCATTGTCCATCGACTCCTTGTTCTGCACGAAGAGCATCACCGTCGCCGCGAGGCAGAGCCCCATGAAGATTGTGTCGTAGACGAGCACCAGCGAGAAGAGCGCGAGCGTCGAGTTCCAGAGCACCCACGGCACCCGCTGGCCGCCGATTCTGGTGCTGCCGCACCAGCTCGAAATCGCACTGCAGCTGCGCGAGCGGCAGTGCTCCCTGCGGCGCACGAGCCTGTCGTGCAGGCCACGGTGGAGGTTACGCAGGAACGACGAGTGCATCTCGGCCTCGAGGAGATGGCGCTGCAGCGCGAGCAGGATGGAGAAGGGGTTCAGGTGGCAAAGGCCTGTGAAGATGACGATGCCGGCGACGAAGAAGGTCTCGTCCAGCTGCCGCTGAAACATTGCTTCGACGCTCTCTGGGCGGGTCCCAGCAGAGGCAGAAGCGTCCGCCCGCGTGCTACCGGCCTGGCTCGGCCGCACAAAGCTGCTGGCGCCTCGGTTACTCTGAGTTGTGTCTATGGCCATGTCGCTGGCGCTGCTCTCCGGCTCGCTCTTCCTCTCCTGGGACAAGCTCGGCTCCAGCACGACCGCGTTTATTTCTTCATCGCTGGCGCCGCTGGCGCGGTCCAGGCCGAGGCCGCTTACGCGGCCTGGGTCGACGAGGCTTACGCGGCTTGGGTCGAAGATGCTAAAGCGCTTTGTCATGGACGCAACCACCCATTCCTCCTTTCGAAACTGGGTTCCAACTTTTTCCGGGGTGTGGTATGGTACCCGCGGCCCAAAGGGTGGGGGGGTATGGTCCTGACCGCCCGAGGCCGGCAGCCGGGAGGCTGGGTGTGTCAGCAGGCGGGGGGGTATGGTCTCGAGGTGGGTTGCGCGATCTACCATACCATACCCGAAAAAGTCCGAACCCTGGCGGAGAGAAAAGAAATTCCAGCGAATTCGGGGAACACGAGATGGGATGTAGGCATGTGTCCCCGCCCTGCACGATCCTGTGGCAACTTCTTGTGCGGTGAGGGAACTTCAATGAGTGACAAGACAAGGTAGATCTCCTTTTTTCACTGTGCTACACAGTCCTACAGAATGTCCCTCGCCGCCCGGCCAGAGCGCCTCCGCTCGTACCGCCGGCCCAGCCAAACGCCGACCCAGAGCAGGAGGCCTCCCCACGCGAGCAGCGGCGGCAGAGCGAGCGGCTCCCTCCGCCCCCCAGCCACGGCCGACTGCAGCACGCTCGCGCCCGACGAGAGGGGCGGCCTTTTGAACCCTTGGACGGTGCAGCAAAAGGGGATCGCCTGCGAGCCCGTGGGCACCGTGTAGCCCACGCCCTTGCAGCGGCCCTCGGTCCCGCCAAAGGCGCTTGCGATGGTGGCGCTCACGCTTGCCTCGACGCAGCCGTCGACGCCGCCGACCCTCACCAGCCTGTGGTAGACTCCGCCGCCGCCGTCCGACGGCGCGTCGATGCCTTCCGCCGTCCGCGCCTCCTCGCCCCTCTGCCGCGGCACCGGCGTCGCGGCGGCCGCGCACGCGCCGCTCTCGACGCAGCCAAGAAAATCGGCCACCCCGTCGTTCATCAGCTTTGGGTCGTCGATCATCGAGCAGTGCCCCGAGTGCGGCAGCACGAGAGTGCGGCTGTTTGGGATCGCCGCCGCCATCGCGCGCAGCAGCGGCGGCCGCATCGTGTCGAACCTGCCCGCAGTGAGCAGCGTTGGCAGCGCGCCAAGGGCCGGCAGCCGCGCCGTGATGTTCCACCCCGCGAGCACGCCGCCGATGGTGAACTCGGACGCGCCCTGGATGCCGACGTAGATCTCGTCGTTCATCAGGCCCGACGCCCTCGTGTAGCAGTCCGGCGGAGGGTAGGTGCGCACGGTGAAGCGCGCCCTCATAGCCTTGGCGAGCGCGCGGTACTCGGCCGAGCCGAAGTCGCGAGCCGCGTCGAGGGCGCGCAGTCTCCGCTGGGCGAAGGCCGGCAGCATGGCGCCGACAATGCCCTCCGTCGGGTCCCACTGGCTCCGGATGTACAGCGTCGCGTCGCTGAGCGGACCTACAGCCGGACAAGCTCAAGGCTCAGGGAATGGGAGGCGTGTTGTAGCCCTTCCGTGAGAGCAGTGTGAGAGTGACCCGAGAGGACGAGGCCGGCGAGCCCGCCGCTGTTCGGTCCTAGAGCGAAGAGCTGCGCCACGATGGTGCCCCACGAGGAGCCGAGCACGTGGAAGCGGCGCAGGCCGAGGTGGCGGATCAGTGCCGCAAGCTCCTCCGGATAGTAGTCGATGTCAAAGAGGTGCGGCGCGCTCGCCTTTGCAGACGCCGGCCGCTCGCTCACGCCCGCGCCGACCTGGTCGTAGAAATAGACTGTCCTGCCGCGGCAGGCTTGCTGCTTGAGCGGCAAAAGGTAGTCGTGCGACCAGCCCGGCCCGCCATGCACCATCACGATAGGAAGCCTTTCGTTTGCCAGGCCAGACGGCGGCGAGGCCTCAAACCTCCAGTAGTTCAGCCGAAGCCCTTTGACGACCAGGGAGTCGTTCGTCTGCCGCAGCTCGCAGAGGTCCGGAGTGATTTCGTCGCACGTTGGAGTGGCGGCGCCGACATGACACGACATGTGCATGCACGTCTTGCTACTTCCTGTATCGGGGTTATGGGGGGTTTACGAGGTGTGAACGTGAACAGAGTAGCCAACTCGCTGTCGATCGTTACGGCACGCATGGGGGGGCTCCCAGACGTATGATCCTAGCCCAATAAGTTCCACGGAGCAGATTTGGATTTTTGACAGAATTAATGCACTGCCCCCGCGCGGTACTAACGATAGGGTGCCCACACGACCCAAAAGAAAATAGCTTTCCGGCTCAAAAAGGGACGCACGAGGCAAATCTGATGTTGGCCAGTTCCAATAGGAGCGAGGCCTCTTCCGTTGGGGGACCGAGTACATAGGGTGGGGCGGGGCTCGGGACGCGGCGGGGGCACCAACGGGTACGGACGTCGGGAACGTCGAAGCGGGGTCGGAGGGCGGCTGTATGACTCATCTCCGCCAGATCGAGACGGACTGTACATGATTGACCGAGCGGAATACCCGTTCGTTAAATTGTTAAATGAGGCTTTTTGCACGGCTGAGCCCCCCCCCCCCCCCCGCGCGCGCCCCGCATCCTCTCTCCCCTCCCCCGTCACGCGTGCCGTCCGAGCCCTCTCCGCTCTTGCGCAGGGGAGAAGAATGGACAACTAATCAGATGGAAGCAGGAAGCTTCCATCCCGGCGGTGGTTCGAATCCACGCGAGCCGATGGGTGATGGGTCCGAGACTGCTGGGGTTCTGAGGCTCACCCATTGAGGAAGTGAGGTACTGCTCCGCCCACCCGGATCCTGCTGAACAAGTTCCTCTTGTAGCTCGATCGGTCACACCGCCATCGCCGTCGGGGAGAGGGGGGACGACACTGCTTCGGCAGCGTGCACCTCGATCCTGTACCGTGTTTGTTATGACCCCCCCAATGAACACACCAGTGAGGGAGGGCGAGACGATCGAGGGGTCCCGTACCACGCGGAATCGACCCTATCCAGTGCTCAAGTGCTCAAGAGGCGGGAGTGGGGGGGGGGGGGGGGCGGGCTTCGGTTGGTCCTCGCTGACATCCGCGTAAACTACGAGCCACCATCCTCAGGGCGCCTCCCTCCATCCCGAGCAGCGCCCCCGCCATCTCCGCCTCCGCCATTCCCACTAGTCGCAGGAATCGGGGGAGGGCGGCCGGAACCGCTCCGTCGGGGACGGCCTCCTGGACCGATTTCTTTTTCCTGCTGAAACTCGCTCGTAAGCATGGTGTAAATAGCTTCAAAGGAGGACCAAAAGGGATCTCTCTCCGTTCTACTAATGCCCTCAAAACAGGGACCTTTGGCAAAGGGGCTGGGAATGCTGCGCCGTCTCGCCCCGCCACCCCCCGCGCCGCCCGCGCCCGTCCGCCGTTCGACGACCAATAGACCATTCATCGGGACGCGGGGGCTCTCGCGGCTACGGACGGCCTCACCCGCCGTCACCCCGGCGGCCCGCGCACGCACGCCGTCTGAGCCTAGCGCAGCGCGAACTCGCTCTGAGCCTAGCGCAGCGCGAGATTTGCGCAGCACCCCGGCCGGGCAACCCTTGAATCAAGTTATCTTTTTTCCTCCTGAAACTCGCCGGCGTAAGCATGTGCACACACCATGCAACCACGCGACCTAGTGATCAACGAGCGGCTGAGCCAGCCGCGCTGCCCCTGGAGGGGCATCTGCACGCTTGCCGGCCTCCTCGCCTTCCTCGCCCTCCTCTCGGCGCCGCAGCATTCCGATCGTCCCTCGTCGACGCTGCAAAGCATCTCCCTGACAGTCCCCGCTGGACTGAGACCTGCGGGGACGCACCTTGGCAGCGACGATGACGTCGCCGTACTTGCGCCTGTCAAGACGGCGCCGCACGGGACGCCGCCTCTCTCGCGCCTGCCGCAGTCCCGCCCGCCGCCAAAGGCGCAGCTCTCGCCGCCGCCGTCGGCTTTCCCGCCACCGGCGCCGGCAACGGCGACACCGGTCGCGCTGGTGCAGCAGCCTCTGCCCAACTGCTCGGTGCTCTTTTTCCACCACCTCGAGAAGACGGCGGGTACCACGCTGCGCTCGGTGCTGCAGCGGCACGCGCAGCTCGGCCTGTTTGACTTTGTGTCGTTTGTCAACCGGTACAACAAGGTGCAGTTCCAGATGGTGACGCACCGAGTCGACGAGGCGCTGCGCACGCCGGGCGGGCTGAGCGGGCTGCGGCTCGCCGTCGAGATCCACATCGGCGGCGGCGGGTGCGAGCAGTCCGTCACACACCGCTGCACGCGGACCTCAGCTGCGCCGTCTCCGAGCCGTCTCTGCGCCGCCCCTGCGCCGCCCCTGCAGGTACGAGCAGTTCCTCAAGTACACCCTCCCCGACCTGCTCCTCCTCCGCTCAAAGCTGCGCGCCGCCGGCTGCCGCTGCAACCTGGTGACGCTGCTGCGCCACCCGCTGCTGCAGCACCTCTCGTGGCACCGCCACTTTGTCAACGAGCGCGTGCCGCTCTGCTTTTGGAACAGCCCGCACGACTGCCAGAGCCGCATGTCGATGGCGCTCGCCTGCCACGGCGGGCCTTCGGTGCGGCCGCTCACGCGCGACCACCGCACCGCCGTCCAGGCGATGTGGGACGCCTTTGACCTGGTCGGCATGACGGAGCACTTCGACTCCTTCCTCGTCCTGCTCGCCGACCTCGCCGGGCTGCAGCGCCCGTTCTACCGGATCCAGCTCGGCACGGCGGAGACGACGGCAGCGAGGGAAGCGACGCGGCGCTGGAGCGCGCGCACGTGCGCCTCGCTCACGGCCGACCCGCCGCAAGCGCTGCTCGAGTACATTCGCAAGCGGATGGCGGCCACGGCGAAGGCGGCGGCGGGGTTCCGCGCCCGCAAGGGCAAGGGCGACTCGCGCGGGCCGGCAGGCATGATGGACTGCGCCGGCTACGGCCCGTGCGAGCTGCCGGCGGGATCGACGACGCAATACAGCTGGTTCGAGCGCGACCAGTGCGACGCGGTGACGGCGGAGGCGGTTCTCTCGCGGCTGTGCGGCCGCATCGCAAGCGACGAGCCGCTGTACCTGACCGCGCGCGAGCGGTTCGAGCAGCGGCGCCGCGCGGCGGGCGAGATGCAGCCGAGATGCGGCCGAGATGCGGTCCGAGATGCGGTCCGAGATGCGGTCCGATGCAGCCGAGATACAGCGTCGGTCCGAGATGCGGCCCGAGATGCGGCGGGGCCTCGCAGCGCCGAGTCATGAGGAGGCGGTGTGCCCACACTCTTGCCCTCTTTGTTGAACACTCTTTGCGTGTGGGCCAGGCGCGTCGCTGCCGCAGCGCGTGGAGCTGCTGCGCGCGGAGGGGGCGGCGCTCGAGGAGCGCGCGATGCGGCAGCAGGCGGAGCGGCCGAGTGACCTCGCGGCGGCGGCGGGTGCCAGGCTGAAGCGCGCGTACCGCATGTCGTCGGGGGGAGGCGTGCCGTGGCTGGTGGGCACACCTCATCTCGGGCAGTCACGGGTGATCGCGGGTAAGCGCGCGACAAGGCGTGCCATGGGTGGTGGACGAGCACGCGAGCTGGTACAAGCCGCACGAGCGCGCGCGTTACTCGTGCGTCAACTGCTCTGGCGACGTCGTGCCGGAGAAGGGCTTCGTCTAATTAACCATTCTCAGTACTAGTCATTCTCACTCAGGCGACGTCGTGCCGGAGAAGGACCTCGTCGGCTGCTGGCCGCTCTGGCCGCAGTTTGGGCCCGACGAGCTCGAGTTCCGCTGCGTGCGCCGCTGGACGAGCGACCCGGGCGAGCAGGCGCCGCACAAGTACATGCAGGGCAGGGCGCCGCTGCCTTGCTGGCGCCGCGGCCCGGAGCCCCCCCCCGCCCGCCCGCCCCCCCGCGACGCGAGTGCGGCAGGCGCGACACGCGGCGACCGTAGGCGCACGTGCTGGACGCCGCTCAAATCGCCGGGAGCGGAGCGTTGCACCGCCGCGTGCCCCTCCGCCGAGTCGGTCCGCGCCGGCCGTCGAGTGAAGGGGACGCGCCCATCCCACGCGTCCACGACACGTCCACGACACGCCCCACAGGCCGAGCCGGCCGTCGAGTGGCGCGCGCGGTGGGACGCCGAGCTGCACAGCTTCAAGGAGCGGGACGGAACGGCGCGCGACGTCGAGCGCGCCACGGGCTTCATCAGGCGGCTACCAAACTCGGACTTCTTCTGGAGCGTGTACTGAGGCGGCCGCAGCGAACGAGCCGTACTGAGGCGGCCGCAGCGAACGAGCCCCTACGCCCAGCCGATCGTTCAATTCTTCAGGCCGGCAAGGGGGCGGGCGGGGGTCTCAGCTGATTTTGCGTGCGGCGGGCTGGACTCTATCTATAGCTCGGTGGCGTCTCTCAGGACCGCAACGGACACCCAGGAGGCGGAGGGGAGAGCGCGTTCTCGCCGCGCAGCTCAGCGCTATTTGCATAAAAGCATTTTGATCAAAACGAAAAAGACTGTAGATAAAAAAAGTTAAGGCACACACGATACACACGAACACGTGTGTGAGGTGTGACTGAGACTGTTGAGAGTGAGAGACGTGCACGTATCGTGACGTGAAAAATATTAACACCGTACGTATTTCTGATTCTGTTTTCGTTGTGACAAGAGGGGCGGAAACAAATAATCTAATCACGAGAGGGAAATGTCAGATCAGTGTCAGCCGTGCAAGCCCCACCCGGCCGGCGGATGGGCGTGGGGGCGCGTCGCCCTGCTTGCTCGAGGTGAAACGTCTAAAGGACGAAGAAGACCCGAATCCGCACGGCGGGCGGAGCACGGCGGGCGGAGCACGGCGGGCGGAGAACACGGGCACTAGACCAGGGAGGACTGGGAGAGTGCGAATGGAGGGACACGTGTGTTCAGACGTCCCCCCCCTCGACGTAGTCGAGTCACTCACATGGATAGAGAGGAAAGTGTCCCTCTCGATGGGGCATGGAACATGCATGAGGAGAGTCCGTGGCTCTCGGGAGGCGCGCGACGCGTGCGCGTGGCGCGCGGCATGGCGCGTGCAAGGAGACCCGCTGTCGTTGGAGGGGGAAGGAGGCTCCTTGACGTTCATGATCTTGTTCCGCAGCTCGAAGAAGCGCTGGGGCTTGAGCGGCTTCGTGAAGTAGTCCGCGAGGTTCTCATCGCTGCGGACGAAGGGGACGCATATCTTGGCCTCCCCGATGGCTTCGCGGATGAAGAAGTGGCGCCGCTCGACGTGTTTGAGCTTGCCGTGGTTCTCGGGGTTGTAGGCAGAGGCGATAGCGGCCTGGTTGTCGCAGTACTGCTTGGTGGGCGGAGCCTCGGGGGGGGTGATGATCTCGCCGTCCTTGACGTACGACTCGAGCTCGGCCTTCAGGCGACGGTAGCTCAACACGTCCTTGGTCGCCTCGGAGGCAGCCATGATCTCGGACTGGCAAGACGAGAGCGCGATGGAGGGCTGTTGGACGCTGCGCCAGTGAACGGTGGCTTGCCACATGAGGACAATCCACCCGGACGTGGACTTACGCGTCTCCCAGCTAGCGTCGCTCATGGCGATGAGGTCGTCGCCCTCATGCTCGCCGTCCCGGCTCGGCTCGTAGGTCAGACCGATGTGGGGATGGTGGCGGAAGTACTCGAGGAAACAGAACATCTCCTCGACGACGTCGTCGGTGGGCTTTGCCATGAATCTGGGGCGTGTACGGCGGCATGTTGGCGTGTCGGACGGGCGGTGGTCCGTGTAGGCGATCGATGAGCTTCTCGCGGAACTGCTCAACGAATCGGCGGGCGTACTGCTCCTGCGAGACGTGGACGGAGCCGTCGTGGCGACCACGTCGCGCCACACAGTCGATGCACTGCTGGCGAGTAAGGTTACCGCGGAGGAATTCAGCGAGCTGGTCCGGGTCGTTGGGCTTCCCGCTGTGGTTGCCCAGCTCCTTGTACTCGGAGGTGAGCCAGCCGCTGTCGCCCCGCTGGGCGTCCTGAGCCATCGCCTGCTTGTGCCCCTTCGTTCGGGTCTCGAGCTTGTCAGGCCGATTGATTGCCTGGGAGGGATAGCGTGTCGGGCTTCACATCAAAGGGCTGAGCGACCAGTCGAAAGTCGCTGCCAGTGCAAGCCCCACCCGGCCGGCGGATGGGCGTGGGGCGCGTCGCCCTGCTTGCTCTAGGTGAAACGTCTAAAGGACGAAGAAGACCCGAATCCGCACGGCGGGCGATGCATGGCGGGCGGAGAACACGGGCACTAGATAGACAGGGAGGACTGGGAGAGTGTGAATGGAGGGACACGTGTGTTCAGACGTCAGCAAGCAGGTCCATCCCTTCCGGTCCTGCCCCCAGGAGCCAGAGGGGCGCATGGCTGTTCACATTCTTCACGCAAACAACAGTAAAAGTGTTGAGTTCGATCCAAACGCCCGCCTTCTCGGCGCGCAGCAAAACGACTCCGGGAGATGGGGTGCGGTGCGTTCCTCTACCCAATCGTATTCTTCATCTTCTGCGCGGGGACCTTCTTCGCCTTTCAGAAGGCCCAGGGCGTGCTCGATCCGGAGAGCTTCCCAAAGAATGTCACTGCTGAGGAGACGATGGTCACATTCGCAAACTCGACGCGAGAGCTCGGGACCATCGGGCTGGGGGAGCTAAAGGACAATATGAACTGGAAGTTTGGCAGTATGCTACTGCACGGGGGCGTCTGTGGCTATTTTCTCGCAATGTGCTTAGTCGCTAACTCTGGCAGTCGAAAAGGAGACATGCACTGAAATCGCCACAGCGTCAGCGAGGCATTTGGGAAGATACCGTACTAGATTTGCATTATCAAAGAGCGCCTGGCCCTGTCTAATGATGCGCTGGCCGATGGGCCCGGCGTTTGGTTTCTGCTTCTACCGCAGGTGTGCGTGCCTTGTGACGCGTGGCTGAGATATATGCTCAGACGGCGACAAAGCGAGCCAGACCGAGACGGTGTGAGCCGTGTGGCGCTTGAAAGTAAGTCACGTCATGCAGTCATCCCCGGTCGCCCGTGCGTGGTCCCAACATCGCACAGCAAACTGACGTGCACTTCGCTACACTGGCTGTTGAGCGCCGCGCGTCCTAGTTACGTTATAAAGATACGATGTCCCCGGGGTTTCTCTGGTAGGACGGGAACGAGATGATAGTAGGGAGTAGAAGAAAGCAAAGAGGAGCCCTGCGCACGCACGACTCCGCAGGAGAAGCCCCGTGTGCTCGCGCGTGCTATGCACAAAAGTCAAAACGTCTCTGTATCATCTTGCTTTATCGCGCCCACTCACGTCAGCGTCGGACTCGGCAGAGGCTCTTGAGACGGGCGCTCTCCTTGATTGCCCTGAGCAGCCTCCGGGCAAGCTGCGCTCGTAGGGCGTTCTGCAGCCGCCTCGCCGCATCTTGCCGCCTTGCCAGACGCCTCCTCGCCGCCCGTTGCACTACCTGAGCGCCGCGCGACTGCCGTGCGAGCAACCGCCGTGCGAGCATCCTCCTCACCGTCCGCTGCACCACCGCGGCGCTGCGCTGGGACGTGAAGTAGAGGAGCATCGCAATCGACTGCCGCGCCGCAAACCGCCGCCTCTGCCTTCTCGCCCTCGCCGCCCGTTGTAGCTTACGAACAAAGAACGCCAGCCAGCGCGCGGCTAGCGCAATCTCCGCCTCCGCCGCGGCCTCGACGGCAGTGATGCGCCGCGACTCCTCCTCCACCCGCTCGCACGTGCGCGGTGTGAAGGCTCCCGGCACCTTCTTGACCAGCTCATTCAGCTCCTCAAAGGACCTGCGTCCGCGCCCGGTGCTGTTGCTGATCCAGGTGGCTCGCAGGGCAGCAAGCTCCCACTTCTCAAACGCCTCCCGATTGCCTGGGTCGATGCGCAGCGTGTGCGTCGACGTGACCAGCCGAAAGACGAAGTTATCGGCACAGTCGGGCGTCTCACGCCTCAGCGCAGACAGCTTGCGGAGGTCGACGCGAGTGGTGCAGCGGAGCGTGGCGAAGGGATCTTCCCTAGGGGTGCTGCCGCGAGGCTGCTTCCCGGGCTCCAGCTCCCACACTGCCAGCGCTCCGCCATGCGTAATTGTGAAGAAGCGGCTTTGCCAGGGAGGAAGCCAGCCGGCGTAGCAGAGCGACCACCCGCAAAAGGCGGTGCCGTCGCAAGACTTTAGGGCATGCTCGCAGCCCCGCTCGAGAGACGCAGCGGCGGCCGACACGCGGAGCTTTGGCACGGACGTCACCATGAACAGCCAGGGCGTCTTGCGACCGATTTCTGCAACACGGAGCAGATTTTGTTTTTCTGCCGAGGCGGAGTAAGCCGGTCCCGAGCGCAGGCGGTGCCCACAGGTCGGACCTTACGACAGCATTGTAGCTCCCTGGGGTGGTGGAGAGGCCCAAGTGCTCCAAGTGCTCCACCCCACGAGCGACGCGGCACACCAACTCTCTAACCAACTAACGCGTAACGGTAACACCAACCATGCAACCAACCCACCCCACCCCAACCCAGCAGGCCGGCAGAGCTCTGCGCCGCCGGTCCGAACCCGACCCCCACCTCGATGTGTCGGTCAGCCTCAGTAGGCAGTCAGGCCTCTCGAGTCAGGCCTGGTCAGCCTCGCCCCCGCGCCAGATATTTGGCAACGTCGAGGAACCTGACGGCGGCTTGGGCCGACGGTGCAGTGCAGCCTTCTCTTTGCGTCGAGCAGCGCGGGCCCTTCGCGCGGCGGCCACAGCCTCGTCGAGCGGCCGAGAGGGGCGGTTGGCGGCGAGGCGTCGTGAGGCCGCGGCCCAAGCCCCACGCAGCAGCGTGGCCCTGCCTTGAGCCCGAGCTTCAGTATCATCCAACGCCGTGGCGAGCAGCGGTGGGTCTGCCTGAGGCTCGTGCTGCGCCTGCGGCGGGCAGCCGCCCTCCACCTCTGGCAGGAACGGCTTGAGCCAGGCAGCCTTGAGCTCGTCGAGCGAGAGGCCTGCAACCTCCCCGCCAGTGAGGCCCGCGTCGGGCCCCAGCGCGGCCTGGTACAGGCAGTCCAGCCAGCAAGGCGACGACACGTTGCCTTTCGGGGCGCCGCACGCCTCGAGGCAGGAAAGGTCGCCTGCACGGCTCGCCTGCACGGCCTCGCCAAAGACGCGCACGTGACAGGCACGCTGGACAACCTTGTCGACCGCAGCAACGAACTTGAGCATCACTGCGGATGCGCCGTTGAAGGTGTTGCCCTTGTACGTCTCCATCAGCGCTTGCGGGAAGAAGGCGAGCCCGATGCCGAACGCTAGCGAGACGATTTTGCGAGATCTTGAAAGCGAGGCTGGCGGAAAGGCATGCGACCGACTTCTTTCGATCGAAGACAGCCGGAATTTTTTATCCGTGTGCCGGCTTAGGCCCCATCAGTCATGGAGGCGTACGGTGCTGCGTCGTCCGACGAGGAGGAGCTTGCGCCGACTGGCGGCCGACCACGCCTGCATGACCGCGTGCGCACGCTGAAGCCACGGGGCGTCTGGCCTACCTGCATTACCATCACGCCGGACGACGCTCACCTCGTCTCGGGCGCTTGGCCAAACACGATCCAAGTCTGGCGCCTCGGCGATGGAAGGCTGGTACGTACGCTCGGGATCCAGGTCTGGGGCTTCGAAGATGAGCAGGGGTGCCATGACGAGGGCATGAAGGAGCAGGGCCCGACCTACAAGGCGTGGTACATGAGGTCGGGTCCTGTCCCCGCACTGCTCGGCTGCTTATTATGCTTCTGCCGACGCGTTGCCTTGCCCCTTGCAGGTCGCCGAAGCGCAACAACTACATCAGCCTGCACGAAAACGAGCGCGGAGCGGAGGAGGACACGTTCACCGGATGGTGGGAGGGCGACTTCTACGAGGAGCCTACCCCGCCCGCCGCAAAGCCGCACCACCACAAGGGCGAGATCGTCAGCATCGCCGCGAGCGACACGCGAATCATTTCCGTCGGCACGATCTGGTGCACGCCGACTTCGACTTTCTCCCACGGCGACCCGGTGCTGGGGTATCCGTCCCTGGGAGCGGGCCCCAAGATGGCGCCCAACGAGACCGGCCCCGCAGGCTTCAAATTGAATAGAGGGTCTAAGTACACCCACTCACCAGTAACAGACCGGTGGCCCCGCAGGCTACACCAAGCTGTGGGACCTGCAGACGGGAGAGTGGCTGCGCGACCTCGGCGGGCGGGCCGATGCGCTCGACATCTCCAACGACCAGTCGCGCGCTGCCGTCGCGTTCCGGTCGGACGTAAAGATCGTGGCGCTATCCAACGGCGACCTGCTGCGCCGGGTCAAGGCGGATCCGGGCCTGTACGACGTGGCGCTGTCGTACGACAACGCCAGCCTGTACATGCACGGCCGCTCCGGCGTCGCCATGCGCGATCTCGCCCGCGGTGGCTACCTGCAGTTCGAGGGCTCGAGACTGCTGCCGATGTGGCGCACCGCTACTCGGGAGGACTGCCTCGAATGGAACGAGTGCTGCTTCCAGCAGCGGCGCGCGCAGAATGGGGCTGAAGCTGAGGTGGCTCGCCCCGACGGACGCAACATCGATTCCTTTTGCGTCAAGGGCCAGGGCGGCACGCTCACCGTGCTGTCCAGCGGCGTCGTCGTGGCTACCGACGGCAAGAGCGTGGCCTGCTGGAGCCGCGCGGGGTCCCTCCTGCAGGAGCGCTCCCTCGGCGACCCGACCACATACGATCCGGATGCTCGCTACTTCACGCCGGACGGCGGATCCTGCGAGTCGTTCTGTCTCGCACCAGATGCGACCGAGGTCCTCTTCGGGGGCGAGGGCGGCGACCTGGCACGCTTCGAGGTGGTTGCAAAGAGCTGCGAGAGTGAGAACTCGGGCGAGGTCATCGCAAAGATGCGAGTCGGCGGCCCGCGTTTCACGGGGCGCGTCTCGCAGATCGCCTTCTCCCGCTCGGGGCAGTACGTCGCCAACCTCAACACGTCGGCCCACGGAGAGCTCGACCCGCGCATTCCTGTGTGGCGCGGGCAGCGCTTCCTCGACGTGCGGGCCGAGAAGGTCGTGCGCACGCGCCTCGACCCTCTCGTCCGGCTCCTCCTCCTCGTTCGCACCGGTCGCGCTGAGCTCATCACGGCCGCTACCTCCTCAGCGGACACCACCATCGACGGCGTGGGCCTCCTCTCGAAGCTCGTGACGGCGGTGGTTGAGGGGTTCGCACGCCGAACAGTACAGAGCAGAGCCTGACGCGTGGCGCATGTCCTGCTGTAGGACGGCGGCGAGCCCGGCCTCGCGAGCATCATCCTGCGCCAGCTCTCGAAGGGGTGGGTCGAGGCCGCCAAGGCGTCCATGCGCTAAGCCTTTGGCGCCATTGGCATCCCATCCGACCGTTACGGATGCAAGCTCCAGACGACGGCCGTGGTTAGCCGGGCCGCGCAATGCGAGCAGAATGATGTGGAAACTCGCGGGTCGTGAAAGACGAGAAGAGCTGGGTCACAGGCAGGGTGGACGCGGAATCGCCTTGAGTCGGTGCGCAGGCGTGCGGGGTGCTTGACGGGGGACAGTGCCGGGCCCCGTGAGAAAGCGTGTGCAAAGTAAGAGACTGAAAGCTCCCAAGTGACTCCGGCCGTCGCCGCCCGGTTCGCCGGGTTCGCCGCACACGCCGCTGATCGGCAGCGGCCCGGCGCGCAGCGCGCCGCGGCGGTGTCTCGCGCAAACAATAACTTCTACTCTATGCGCCGAGAGGACGAATATCTCGAAAAACGATCTATACACGAAAAGGCTCTAGGAGTGATATACTAGGAGATGTAAGGCGTAAAAGGGCTTAGGGGCGAGGGCCGAGGCCCTGTGCGCGCGCGGCACCCCCTCCCCCAGGACAAAATATATGTGTATGTGTTGCCACAAGATAGACGAGCCGCCCATAAGCACTCAAGAGACTTTCACTTACTGTGCGCGACCACTACTGACAGAGAGCGACACCCAATGACACAATGCACAACCCAGGGCCCGAAATGCGACAAAACCACGCAAAAAACGCGCACCAGATGAACGTACTTGCGCACGTAGCGCGTGATCGCAACCGACCGACGCGGGGCCTGTGCGCCCGCAGCGCTAACGCCGCAATCATGACTCAACACGAGCTCCCCGTTAGTCCAACATTTGCGGCGAGGCTGGCGGCGACGCGCGGCAGCGGGGGCAGCTGCACATGCCGGGAGGCCCGTCGTGCAGCTCATCGTCTTGTGGCTCTCGCCGAGAGCGTTTTGCGTCCGGCGTCCCGGCGGGTGGGAGAATATGCGTCTATTTTGTCACTGTGTACGTCACACCCAGTCTTGATAGCCGAAGAGCCGTGCGGTCACGGGGGCGGGCCAGCGTCAGGTGTGTCGTCGGCGAGGGCGTGCCACGAACGAGTCCTTCCTACGCAGGCAGGCAGGTCCTACGAGGACGCTGGCAACGAATGGGCCGTGCCAGTGGACCTTGGGGAAGAGGCGGCACCTCTCAGAGCAACATTTGTGTCGACGACGGTGAGAGAGGCCACAAAACTCCCTCGCACGACACTTCCAAAACTCTGGGGTGAGGTGCAAGAAAAGAATTTTCACGCCGGCCGTTTGAAAAGGGCCGGCTTAGCTCTCTCTTCTTCTGCCCTTCTGGCCGCATGGCGCTGACCGCCTCCTCCCCAGCCCAAGCCAACCTGCCTCGATCTGGGCTCGGGCCGCCGCGGCGGAAGACGCGCAGCGTCAGTGCAGCCACTGACTCAGTCAAGCAGGCCGGCCGATCCGCCCCGCGGCAAGACCCGCTGCGCCGTCCGCCAGCCGACAAGTCTGCGGTGCCGTCGTACGCCCGTCCAACGCGCAGCAGCGCGATGCGCAAGGACGTGGTTGACGTGTCGTCGCGTCGCCGACCCGTGGACAAGCTCCGCGCCGAGTTTGAGGCGCGGGAAGGCGGCGCTCAGGCGCTTGGCTTGAGGCGCGGGAAGGCGACGCCTTCCCAGCCCGAGGTGCCAGTCGGCAAGCTGGTCGATCTCAACGAGAACGTTCCCCCGCCCGCGCCGCCCACCCCTCCCGAGGAGCGCCTCGAGCTGCCCGCTCCGGACGCCGGCCTCGCGGGAGCCATAGAGAGGGCTCAGGCGGCGGCGGCGGCGAGCGTGGGCGGAGCCTCGTCGCCCGAGGCAGCCGCGGGCGCGGGCCTGGACGTCTCCATCGTCTCGCCGCTAATCAAGTTCACCCCTCCCGTGCCCAAGCCCTCCGCCTCCCCCGCCGTCCGCTCGTCGCGCGGCCGCTACTCGCGCGGCGCTGAGCGGAACGGCTCGAGAAAGTCGGGGGCGGCGATGCGCCTCTCCTCCTGCTCCTTCTTCGGCGGCCGCCCGCCCGCCTCCGCCGATGAGCCCGCGTCCCTAGCCCGCGCCTCCTCCTCCCCCGCCGTCTGCGGCGCCGGCCCCACCCTGCCCCACGGCTCCGTCTTCGGAGGCATCGGAGGCTGCCCGGAGGACGCAGCGGCGCCCGCGCCCAGCGGCGTCCGCGCCTCGCCTCGCCTCCTCTCGCTCGACCCTGCGGTCAAGGCTGCCGCCTCGGAGGCGGCGAAGGCGAAGGCGCTCTTCGAGGGGCTCGAGGGGGCCGCCGTCTCCATCGCCTCCGCCGCCTCCGCCTCCGCCTCCGCCGCCTCCGCCTCCGCCGCCTCCGCCTCCACCTCCGCCTCCGCCTCCGCCTCCGCCTCCGCCTCCGCCTCCGCCTCCGCCTCCGCCTCCGCCTCCGCCTCCGCCTCCGCCTCCGCCTCCGCGTCGCGCGCCGCGCCGCCGCCCCTCGCCGCGGGCGTGGCCGCGTCGGCTCCTCCATCACAGCAGGCGTGGCAGACGTCGGGGCAGCGAGTGCCCAAGCGACGGTCAGCCGACACTCCGCCTTGCCTGTCCAACTTGCCTGTCCAAGACACGTCCCCGACGTGTCATCTCGTGTCCCGTAGGTCGGCACGCCTCTCCGGCCTCCCAGCAGCGCGGCCCGTGGAGCGGAGCCCACTGGCGCAGCCGCCGGCGCAGCCGCCGCAGCGAAGCGACCCCTTCCCCGCTGCCGCCGGCTGCGGCGCCGCCATCGCTGAGGAGCCACTCATTCAATTTGGGAGTGGCACCGCGACGGCGGCGACGGCGGAGGCCGCGCGCTCGCCTTGCGCTTCTCCTCCTCGCAAGGCGCCGCGCCTCGAGAACCACGCGACGGCGGCAGGTGTGGCCTGGTCGCAGGGCGGGGCCTCCCCGCTGCTCGTGCCCGGCGCTGGCTCCCCGCTCCTCGCTGGCTCCCCGCTGCTGCTCTCGGTCTCTGAGCCTGAGGCTCAGCCTCTGGCGCTTCCCGCAGCTGCCCAGCCGGCGCCCGCCGCCGCCGAGTCTGCGGCCGAGCCACGTGCGGCTGCGGCGCCGTCCGCTGCCAGAGCGGCGCCGCGCCGCTCACCTCGCCGCTCGCTCGCCGCGGCCGCTATAGCACGCGTCGAGTCTGCAACCGAGCCGGCGGCGCCGGAGGAGGAGGCGGAGCCGATGGAGGTGGAGGAGGCGGAGCCAATGCTGACGGAGGAGACGCCGTCGCAGCCGCCGCAGCAGGTGGCCTCCTCCTCCGCGGCGACGGCGCGGCTCGGCACCGGTGGCGAGGGGGCGCCGCCGCGCTCTTCGCCGCGCCGCTCGCCGCGCCGCTCCCTCGGAGGTGGGTCGCTGGGGCGCGGTTCCTGCTCGGGCGGCGGGGACCCGTTCGGCGGCTCCAAGCTGGCGCGCTCGCCGGTGCCGGCGGCTGCACGCGCCGCGTGGCAGCAGGCGCCGGCGGAGGGAGAGGAGGCGCGCGGCCGCTCGCCCCGCCGCTCGCCGCGCAAGTCGCCGCGTCGCTCGTCGGTTGCACAAAAGAAGAGCGCAGCGCGCCCGTCGGCCACGGCGCCCAAAAGGTCGACGAGCAGAGGCGGAGGAGGCGCAGCCGAGGCGTCTCGCGGCGGCGGCGGCTCGCGGACGTCTGGTTTGCCGCGCCGCGCGCGTCGGCGGCGGCGGCCTTTGGCTCGGTGGCGTCGGTCTGCGAGATGCTCGGCGGCGTGGGCGAGGACAGGCCGTGGGAGAAGCGGGTGGCGGCGAGGAGGGGAGGCGGGCCGCAGCCTCTTGGGGCGCGTCCACGACACGTCCACGCTCGTCGTAGGTCGCGGCCATCAAGAGCTTGCCCCGCTTGCTCACGGAGGGCGCCGCCGCCGGCTCCCTCGACGCAAACCTAAAGGTGGACAGCGGACAGCCCTCCCACCCCCGCTCCCACCCACCCCGCCTAGCCATTCTTGCCTGCGCGACCCCCCAGGCCTGCTTGCTTGCCTCCCCCTCTCCTGACCCACCCATCGCCTCCCCAGCCCCCTCGCTCTGTTGCTGGGCAAGCCTCTCTCGGCGTTGCTCGCACACCTCCTCGAGATCAAGCGAGATTGACCCGAGACTAGGCGCTCGGCAAGCCCCTCGCGACTCAGCTCGCAGACCTTCGCTCCTCGGTCGTCTCCACCCTCTGCACCACCCTCTGCACCCTCGCCGCCGAGCGCGGCGACGCCCTCGCGCCGCTCGTGCCCGTGCTGCTGCCTGCATTGCTCCGGAATCATTGCGTCTCCAAGGTGCGTCGCGCTGCGCGCACCCTCTCTGCCGCTGCCAGCCGAGTCCCGGCCAAGCACGCGATGCGACGCGGCCACGCCCCTCTGCCACAGGCGCCAATCTCCAAGCCGTCGGTGCAGGCGGCCGGTGCGCTAGTCGCCGCAGCGCCGTCGGAGGGTGCGGCCGCGCTCCGGACTCTCGCCGCCGTTGCACGGACACGTCCACGACTTGCCCCCGCCCCGTCTGCCGCAGGAGCGAGCGCGGTGCTTCTCGCCACGGTCGGCTCGCCGCACCACCAGACGCGCCGCGGCGTCGCCTCGCTTCTCGGCGCCGCATGTGCCTCCGCGCTCGAGCTTCCCCCGCCGCAGGCCGCCGCCTTCGCGAGTGCGATCCGCGCCCTCGTCTGCGACACCGACGCCACGGTCCGCGCCACGGCGGCGTCCGCGTACTGGGAGCTGCACCGGCGCTCCGTGGCGGATGCGGACGCGATCCTGCCCCAGGTGCAGCCACCACAGCAAAAGCTGATCCAGCGCTCCAAGCCGGCGGCCAAGTAGCCGCGCGCGCGCTCGCCCGAGCGCGTCGCCCCGAGGACTGGTGTTGCAGCAATGTTGCAGCCCACCGCCGTACCACTGCGCAGCCGCTGCATAGCGCGCGTACTGTGGCCGACTCTGTGAGAGCGGCCAGCGTCGCATGGGGGAGGGCACAGGGGGGGGGGGTCTGTGAGTGGTGGTCAGAGTGCAGCACCGAGCGGAGTGGCGGGCTGGTTCAGGCCGTGGGGGCCGCGCCAGCCCTGCCAGTGTGCATGCAGTGAGTGAGTCGGTGGTAGTGGAGAGGGCACTGCACGATCGACACACACTGCTCACTGGGGCACGACCGCGCGCGCGCGCGCTGAGAGCCACTTTCCCGCCTTCGGCCCCTTTTCCTGTACGCGTGTATCTATCTGCTGCAGCACGCGTGAGAAAGAGGTGTAGGGGGGCGGGGGGCGGGGGGCGGGGGGGGGTTAGAGAGTAGAGGCTAGAGCCGTACTGCGCGCCGCATCTCCGCTCTCCGGAGGACCGGACTCCGCCCCGGCTGGTTTTCCTTTTTTTTATAGGCATTGTGGGGTTGGCACACTCCACACTCCCATCGACCCTCATGTGTCATGACCTCCTGCGGTCTCTGAGATGGACACCAGTGGGTGTGGGACCACAGCCAGGATACACTCGAAGGCTGGGTAAGCAGTAGAGGTCGATAATCGACGCGTCCCACATGGTCTGTGTCGCTGGAGTGTCACGTGTCAGCACCATGGTCGGCACGCTGTCGACAGGACGTCCAGCGACACCGGTGGCAGTGCCACCCAGGAGTGGTCGGGCGGTCTCCCGTCATGAGAGAGCCACCATGTGGTCCGTATGATGATTCCTGACAACCACCTCAGTCAACTTTCGTTCCCGCTCTGGGAGGACGAGGAGCTGCGGGACGGTCAGTTCGACAGCTGAAGCTGTGTCGCCGGCGTGCGGGCCTGCATATGATGAAGCTTCCAGACGTTGCGCGCTCCGCCGTATGTTCTGTCCGCAGCGCGGCAAAGAATTTAGACAAACTAGTGGGGGACCTGCGGCGGTACCCGCCTCTGCTGTTCGGGCAGTGAGAGACGCAGGATCCAAAGGGGGTGTCGGAGATCATCCATCGCAACAACATCTCTCTCCATCGCAAGCACTCATCAGTCAGTCACGTCAGTCAAAGCCGCGCCGAGCCGGTCTCGGCGGGAGACCTCGGAGCAGCACGCGATGCTGCGGGCGTGCGCGATGGCTCCCTCTCCTCCGTGCCTAAGGCAGATAGATTAGGGTGTGACCTGCGGCAGCCAGTCGGAGGCCGCGATGAATGGCCCAGGGCCGGCGGCGGTGAAGGCGTCCGTCGATGAAGGGATGTCGTCGAGGGAGCTATCGTCCTCCGCGGCTGGTGCATCGGTCCAGTTGTCGGAGTTCGAGATCGCCGTCGACTTGGAGAGTGTGTTCGGCCCGTTGACGAACTCACGGAATGTGAGCGGCTTGGTGCACGCTGGGTCGAGCATCATGACTCGCACCTCATCCTGGGCGAGGAACTCGCCCAGGGGACCAGATGTTGGCGTCGCCGTTTTGATCGAGCTGCATGCACTGCATGGTTTCGTAGTCAAGCGTAAACGCCCAGGAGTTGGTGCCTGGGTGACTTGCTGATGAGAGCGCCTTCCAGGCGGGTAGTCGTGCCCCTCACCTAAGGTCATACGGCGGCGTCAGAGGGGGGGAGGGGCGCGAAGCGTGAACATGGAGGCAAGCAGGTGTTCGGCTGCACCTGGCCAAAGCCGGCGACCTCAAAGTTGTCGTTGCTTGTGCGGATCGTGAGAGGGACCGGATCGGCAGCAGCGCGGGCGGCAGCGGCCGGAGAGGCCGGAGAGCCGTCCGACGGAGGCCGGTCGTGCATCGGCGCGTCGGCCGTAGGGGCCGTGGGGGGCGGCATCCATCGCTGCGGGTCGCTGCGGGCCAACGATTGTGGATCGATCGTCGGCGGGCGGTGTTCAGCGGGGACGTTCTACGTTAAAGAGCGTACATGAGAGACTTATAAGGGAATTAAGTTGTAGTTGAGCCTCGAGGCGCTCAGGTTAGGTTAGGTAGAAAGGTGAAGAACAGTCAGGCTCGGACTGGACACCAGCGCGGTATGGGTGAACGCGGGACAGATGATGACGACATGCACGAGCAACACACAGACAGAAGCTCACAAGACGCTCAATTTAACATAAAAAAGAATTTTGCGACCGAGGCGGTCGCACGACACGGCCGCACGCCTGGCCGCATGTCAGAGTCAGAGGATGGGGATCTGGCGTCCGATGAGGAGGCCTGGCCGATAGACGCCGCCACCGACGACGAGGATCTGGCGGATGAACCGACGCTGCCTTGCGTTGGCGCTGCCTTGTGGTCCTGGTTGCCAGAAGAGGTGCTGCGCCTGTTTGCCAAGTCGTCCTCAGTCACGGTCCTCCTTGTACTGGCCGCACTCGATCGCCGCACTTATAGGGCAGCCGAACCACGACACAGTCGAGTCACCCGGCTGACACGGTCGCCATTTTTCCTCGGCAAGCAACTGCTCCATGGGGCTTCTCCGCAAGCAGCTGCTTCCATAGCCTATGAACCGTTCATACCGACCGACGCAATCTATCTGCCTCAGCAGGTGGTGCGCTCTCGCGCCATAGACCTATCCATATGCCCAGTTTGCGGACACAAGATTCCCGAAGGCCAGAGCTTTTGCGAGAGGTGCGGCATGTGCCTTGAGTTGTCTCTTTTCTTTCGTTTTCGGGCACGAGAAGGGCGTGTGGACTGGCGCACACTCTAGCTAGACTCTAGCACAGGTAGGTTAGGTAGAAAGGTGAAGAACAGCCGTTCTCTGGAGGGCTCACGCGCCCGTGCGCGCGCGTGCGTTGTGCGTTTTGGGGTGCCCGTGGCGCGGGGAGCGGTGGGGCACACGGCACACGACAGGTAGTAGACTCACTGAGGGTGGGGTCTGGTGAGGGCGATCGTGAGTGAGCCCGCAGGTAGGAGGAAGCGTCAATGACCATTCCTGCAACCACTGCAGGCTCCCAATGTAGCAGGTGTAGCGTGTGAGAGGGCGCACCCGGTCCATCCGTCGACGGACGTTTGAGCGGCCTCTCGAGAATTCGACCCTGAAGAAGAATTTAACAATCGAAGAATTTACGCAAGTCAATACGTGCAGGTTTTTGTTATAACGTCGGAGCGGGTAGTATACGAGGGGAGAAGGAGCGTCTCTATCTAAAAAGTGAGTGCAGAGGGAGGGGGGGGGGGGGGGGGCGTGAGCCACAAGGGAAAAGGGATGAGCCAAGAAAGCTTGTAGCTTCCCTCCCTTGTGCCTTGAGTTGTCTCTTTTCTTTCGTTTTCGGGCACGAGAAGGGCGTGTGGACTGGCGCACACTCTAGCTAGACGCTCTAGCACAGGTAGGTTAGGTAGAAAGGTGAAGAACAGCCGTTCTCTGGAGGGCTCACGCGCCCGTGCGCGCGCGTGCGTTGTGCGTTTTGGGGTGCCCGTGCCGCCCAGTCTGCCCCCAGTTCCGCGGACGGCCTCCCCACCCTTCGTGTACGGATGATGTGGTTCCCACACAGACGCGCTTGTGGCTTGAGGACAGGAGACTCAGACTGCAGACTCTGGACGCGCTCGAGACTCACCCTGAGTCTTGAGTCTTGAGGACAGGAGACACAGACGCGCTGTCTTGAGGACAGACTCGAGGCCAACAATACAAGAAGTCGCAATCAATATTTCAGCCTGTGTCGTAAACGTAGATCACGCTGCCCACGCTGGCCAGCGCGTGCTCACGACACAGCGAGCTTCTTGCCGGACAGCAGAAGGCGGATCTCCTCGTGCTCGCGCGCGAACGCGACCATGTCGGGTCGGCCGAAGAGCTCACCCTTGTAGACCATCACGAAAGGTTGCGCCATGATAACCGCAGAGCCGCCGCAGGCCGAGCTGAGGTTGGCCTCGGTCCCCAGCGCCGCGTCCTAAACATATGCAGTGGTTCGGGATAGTCAACCGGGCCAAGGATGATTGGGAGAGGGAGGAGCGCACCAGAGAATTGCGGATGATCGTGGCCCGCTTGGCCGGGCTGCTCGCCGGCTGCGACACCGAGTGGGGCTTGTGCGTGTACGCGCCGACCTTTTCGGCGAGGTCGTGCAGCGCCTTGCCGATCGGCGTCTTCAGGACGGCCGGGTCGGGGTGCGCGACGTAGATCCCCGCGGCTGAGAGGTCGCTCTGGTACATCGGCACCTCGTAGTGGAAAAAGTAGCCGCCCTCGCCCTGCCACGAGCGATGCGCCCGGTGTGGGGGGTGGAGGGCCTGATGATGAGATCCTAGAGCATACCTTGATGCCCGCGCCGAGGAAGAAGTGGACCACGCCGGGCGGCTCGGCCTTGGGCGGCGGCGGCGCGTGCTTCATGTCCTCACGCACCTGCTAACGGGACGGAGGTGTAGGCGAAGCGCTAGTTCGGCTGCTCATTGACTACGGGCTGGCCTTCTCGGTGTCGAGGCAGGAGGGACCGGCACCGGTGGGCGCGCACAGCTGCGCCTCCGACGCCTCATCCGGGTTGTCGTTGGGGTCGGCGGCCGGTGGCTGGCTCGGAGCTGTAAAGCAGTTGTGGGTGAGATGCTGATGGGGCGAGGAGTGTACGCCAGAATTGAGCGCACCGCTTGACGCCTCCACGAGGGATTGCTGGTAGACCTCCTCGAGGAAGGTCCGCACCTGCGACATGGGAAGGGGGTGGGAGCTACTGCGTGCTAACCCCCGGGCGTTCGCGTACCTTTGTGCCCGCAGCCAGGGCGGAAGGATATGAGTGCTCTTGGATCCACCCTCGCAGAGCCAGCTCGTTGGCCCCGGCGCCCTTGCTCTTGCCCTTCGACCAGGAGCGCGCCATGGCCTTTGGCGTGTCGCCCGTCTCGTGGAAGTACTTGTGCAACCGCTCGCGCAGGGTCGCCTCGTCGACCACGGCGACGTCCGCGAGGAAGGAGACGTCGAGCGGCTCCGGCTCGGGCTCGGGCGGCGCGCTCGCCTTCCGCTTGAAGTAGGCGCGAACCTACGGTAGGCACAAGCGCTCAACGCGCACCAGAGGCTTGGCGGAGGCACAGCAGCGCACCGCAGACGCCACGGGCTCGTCCTGGTTGCCGCGCAGCCACTTGCCCAGCGCCCTCCTGTCCATCTCGGTGTCGCCCGCCACCTCCGCCTGCTTGATCTGCCGCTCCATCATGTACTCGCGGATCAGCTCGCGCAGCCGCGGCTCCGACGCCTTCTCCGGGTCGTCGGTGAGGTCGGCCTCGCTCGGCTCTACAAAAGCCGTGCACAGGGCGTCAGATGATACAATCGACCGACGCGCACTGCTGGGCGGGACGCGCGCCCTCGACCGGGCGCTGCTTGGGCAGCAGCTTGAAGAGCTCGTTGCAGCTCTTGATACCGAAGCGCCCCATGAGGCGCCCGGCCGCGATCTCCTTCTTCGTGTTGAAGCCGCCCATCAGGGCCATCATCGCCTTGCGCAAGATGTACGCGCAGTCCCCCGCCGCGACCACCTCCGGGTCGAAGGTGTTCTGCTGCAGGTTGAGCGAACTGCGGGTGGGAAGGAAGGGGGAGTCAGCGCAGAGCAGGCAGCGACAGCACAGAGAGAACAGCGCACATCGCCACATGCATCAGCAGCCACGCCGGCGTATGGCCGAACTTGTCGACGTTCGCGTCCGAGCGCCCGCCCGTGTGCGAGAGCGCGCCGCGCTCGGAGGGCGAGCGAGAGCTTGGCGGCTCGATGAGGCCGTGCCGCACGAGGATGTCGCCGAGCGCCGCGAGCGCGAAGGTGGAGACGGTCGGCACGCGCACACTCGCCTGCCGGACGCTGCGCGTGAGCCGTCGTACAATTGAGACCATGGGAGACGGCCCCTCATGGAGGGGAAGCTGATTTGAAGTCGAAGATGATGATCACCACCCCGAGGGGCACGCCACAAACTTGGCCCGGACAGGAGGACTCACCCCCTGGAATCCACCCAGAGGGTAGTCCAGGGGGAAGAGGCAGTTCCCGTCTCCGGCGGCTCGGATGCTGACTGGTGACCTGTGTAGTCGTCCACGAGCGGAGGGGCGAGGAAATTAGTTCGAGCGGGCGGGGGGAGCAGCCGAGAGAGGGGGGGGCGTGCGGGAAGCGTTAGCTTATTCGGTACCTTCTCGACGAGGCTCTCCTCGGCCGTCTGCTCGACCTCGAGCGCAGCTTCGTCGGAGAGCAGCGGCGCGTTGAAGGCCTCGACCTCCTCCGCGTCCGCTGGCTCCTCGTCCGTGCACGCAAGAAGCGACAGCAGCGGCCGCAGCTCGCGGCTCTTTGTGGCCGCGGCGCGGTTCTGCTTGGCCGCCTCGAGCTGCAGCTTTGGGATGTCGCCAGCCTTGGCCTGCGCGAGAAAACGGTGCACCTCGTGCAGGCACCGCCGCACGGAGGCCACCAGCCTGACCGAGGCGGCGCCGCCCTGAAGCACGTTCTTCGATGCGCGCTGCGGAGTGCGGAGCGCGACCACGGCCGCCTCGGCCGCGTCGTGGTCGAGCATCAGCTGGCTGCACTCCTGCAGGCAAAGGTCGAGCGCGAGCTGGCCGTGCTCGCTGCAGTGGGCGAGGATGCCCTGCGCCGCGTCGCCGCTCGGTCCCGTGACGCGCGTCCCGCCGTTCTTGATGAAGCTGTTGCCCGCCGGCGGCCGCGAGAGCGCCCGCCCATACGTGCCGGAGAGCAGAGCGTGTGAGGATGCGGTGATCGCCTTCGCGGCGAGCTCGGCCGAGGCGCGGCGGGGCGTCTCCTTCATCCCCATCGATGTGGGTGGCGCGGCGCCGATGTTGCCTCGGTTTTCCGCCAGGTTCGCCCTCTGCTTCTCCGCCTGCTTCTCCACCTCCTCCCACGACTCGGTGTCGGCGCGGGCGGCGCGGGCGCACTTTGGAGCAGGTAGGTCTAGGTCGCCGGTGCCGGAGGAGAAGATCGCGGCCGAGTCCCGCTCCGGGCAGCCACGATCCGGGCAGCCACGCTTTCTGGACATCGCGGCCGGATGGTCTGAGTCTGAGTGGTTGGGCCTCCGTCCAGGCAGGAGTGATCTGTGATCTGTGAGGGTCCGCCCGCAGGCGCATTTTGTATACCGAGGCGGTGCCCGGTGCCGAAAAGGCAGGAGTTTTTTATTACAGGCCTTGCCAGGTTTTCGCTCATCCACCCACCGCATTCAGGAATGGAGAGAGCAGCGCCTCCGCCGCCACCGGCCTGTCTGCCGGCACCGGCGCCATCAGCCCGCAGAGCAGCTGCCACGCCTCGCCGTCGAGCGGGAAGGCGCTCTCCCACGCGTCGGGCAGCGCGTCTGCGGCGGCGGCGTCGATGCGCCACGCGGCGAGGTCGTGCCTGGAGAGGGGAGGCTCCGGGCAGGCTCAAGGACAGCTCCGGGCAGGCGCCTCGCGGGGACAGGGTCGTGCCGCTTGTCTCGCAGCGAGAGCCGCAGCGCGTACAGGCCCTCCTCCGTGAGGGCGGGCAAGGCGAGCCTGCGCACGCGGGAGGCAAGCGGCGCCGATCACCTCCTCCTCGTTGGTTGAGGGCGGTGGGGCGGCTGAGGGCAGGGTGGCGGGGAGGGGGCAGAGCCTGAGCCAGAGGAGGCCGGCCGAGTAGACGTCGTACGTGAAGGGCTGCCGCACGGCGAGCAGCTGCTCGGGCGGGCAGTAGAGCACCTGTCAACGAGTCGTCAACGAGTCGTTCAATCAGTCATCACTCAGCAGCGGCTCTCGAGCGGGCGACGGAGCACAGAGCACGGCACCCTCCCCGCCTCGAGACCTCGCTGCACCACCCAGCCGGCGACGTCGCACGCGGACCCAAAGTCGATCAGCGCGAGCGTGCGGCCTCTCGTGTCGACCAGCAGGTTGTGCGGCTTGACGTCTCTGTGCACGACGCCGAGCGAGTGGATGTGGGCGAGGGCCTCGAGGACCAGCTGCAGCGTTCGGCGAGGCAGCTCGGACGCGACGCAGCCGAGCGCCGCTGTTAGTTCCACCCGCCCCTCGTCGCCGCGCTCGAGGTACTCGCCGAGCGTCGCCTCGCCGCACCGCTCCCACACGAGGTGCAGCTGACCAGACGCCTCGAACTCGCCGATGTATGACGCGATGCAGGATGGCCGGAGGACAGCGCTGCCGCCGCCGGCGCGGCGCCGCACGAGCTGCCGGTTGACGTGCGCCTCGGTCTCGAAGAACTGCGCCGCCCGCTCTCCCGCGGCGGCTCGCTTTGCGACGCACGGCGCGCCGTCGAGCCGTGCATGGTACACCGCTCCAAAGGAGCCCTCGCCAATCGCACCTGTTGCCGGCTCCGTGATGTGTGTGTGCGTGTGTGTTAGGTATGTTGTTGGTTTAGATGTGCGTGTGTTGGCACCTCCAAGCTCCAAGTGCCTTGCCGCGGAGAAGACGGCCGTGATGACCAGCATTTCCCAAGAAAAAGAATTCCCCGCAGAATTTCTTGGCACGAGGCGATTTGCCTGGGCCCTGGGCGGGGCCACCATTGCCACCAACGCGGGGCCACCAACCGTACAGCGGGCAGCAGGCCATGCATGGCGTGGGTACAAGCCCGGTTCGCAAACTCTGACAAAGGTCAAAGCTATCACAGGGCAAAGGGCATTTTCGGTTTCGCTTCGCTCCGGCGGCGGTGGGAATAGGTGTAGGTGTAGGTGTGGCACTGAGCCTGTGGGCTGCGCGGCCCCCTGGCTGGGAAGAAATAGGTACCTTAAGGTACGTAGCTCGTAGGTTAGGCAGGCCGTTTTGTCGTGATTGATGAGAGAGGGGGGGGGGGGGTCTTGGGATGTTTCTCTTGTGATAAAGCGAGAGTTTGTTGATTCAGTGACAATGGATGGAAAGGAGAGAAACCTGACTGACCGACAACAAGTGTGCGAGGCATGGGCAGGCAGGCGCTTTAGGTTAGGTAGGTAGGAAGGTGAACAGTCTGGCTCGGACTGGACACCAACGGGGCGGTATGGGTGTGGACGCACACACAAACTCACAAGACACTCGTGCAAACTCGGTGTCTACGCGAGCGACGTGGAACGTTGTGTCCTTCACTCGACTTCACTCGCGTTGGGTGCGTGTCACCGCCCCGACTGGGGACATGGCGGCTGCCACCCCCGCGCCGACCCCTGCCAACCGGAGCATCTTTGTGCACTACCACTTCCACGAGACCGCCAGTCGGCCCTGCGAGGCGTCGCGCAAGCGCACGAGCCTCGAGCTCTTCCTCCAGCGCGCGGTGCTACCCAGCCCTCCGAGCGTCCTATTCCTCTTTACGCTGAGCGGCCACGCGCTACCGCCGCCCGCCGCCTACTTTGAGAGCATCGCGCTGCCGCGCGACAAACGCGCAGAGATCTTCCCGTCGCGCGCCAACGTCCTCGTCCAGACCGTCCCGCCCTCGACCACCGACCTCTGCCACAGGGCGCTCGCCATTCGAACTGCTCGCTCCCGCTCCCTCCGCAGAGGCGCACCCACGCCCGAGTTCGGGCTGTTCCTCAACGATGGCGCCCGCGGCCCCTTTCTCCACCCCGATAGCCCCACCCTCGGCGCGGCGCTCGGCGTACCTCCCTGGCTGGCCAGGTATGTCGGCGCATTCTCCGAAGGCGGAGGCGCCAGTGGCAGCGGCAGTGGCGGCAGCGCTCGCATCGGCGCCGTCGGCGCCTGTTTCTCGTGCCAGATCGACTCGCACCTACAGAGCTGGGCGATGATGGTCGATTGGCGCCTCTCGGCCCTCCTCCTCGAGCGCTACTCGAAGACCTGCGCCCGGCGGGTCGGCCCTGGCCGCCTGCCTGACGCGGCCAAGCGGGAGGCGGTGGTGGAGGGGGAGGTGCACACGTTTAGCTATACCGCCCCACCAGTCCCTGATCCCCCTCTCACTCGTCCGCCACGCCTCCCTCTGTCGGTCACGCCACTCCCTTCCTCCTCCACCTCGCAGGTGCGTCCGATTGCGCACATCCTCTCATTGGGCTATGCGATCACTTCCTTCTTTCCGCGCCGGCTGACGGTCACCAACGAGCAGAGGCTGGAGATGCAGGTGGGGATGCGAAACTCGGGCTGCACCAACGCCTTTAACAGCCCCGCGAGCTTCCACTCAATCGGTTTCGGCACGCTCGGCGAGATGACCTTTGCCAAGGCGGGCGGCGAGCAGTGGAGGCGCGGCCTGATGCCGCCCTCGTACTCACGCCGGTTGGACGCCGCCACGGCACGGCTGCTCCCGGAGATGGGACGGGCCAATGGGGATTGCATCGACGACCTCAAGTACGTGTGCTGCCCGGGTGCGACGCGGAGGCAGTGCGGCGGGTCGAGTGGTGGCGCTGCGTGGGCAGGCCCCTTTTCTTGCCCAAAGGACTCGAGCTGCGTCGCGGCGAGCGATTGCAAGACCGAAGGCGGCGTCCGTAGAAACGGGTCTGCCGGGATAGCGACGATGTGACTGTTTAGTGGAGCGTACCGCCAAAAAAGTGAATCTCCACCAGATCATCTCTCACACGCAGGAGAGAGATACAACACCTCCTTCGAACACCTCTCTCCAAGACTCCGACCACGCTTTTGTGGTCTCTCGTTGGGGGGCTTTGACCCTGTGTCCGAGAGTGTATGCTCTCTGGGCCGACGAACCCGGACACCCCCTCCCCCACTCGCACTCGGCTAGCACTGCCCAGACAGTGTAACACCTGAGTAAACACGGACCGGGGAGGTGTAGAGACGGTATAACCTGAGCGCTGTTCCGACGCCCTCGGGCTCGGGTAGTGCAACAAAGTCGTGCTTCTTTGTACGACGCTAGTGCGTAGTGGAGAATGGTCTGGAGAGCGGAATTTTTTTCACAATTAGAGGGTGCGTTTGTTTTCAGAGAGAGAGATTTTTAGCAATACCAAACAACTCTAACACTCACGTATGTAGCTCTTACGTACGTACCCGAAGGTGAACTGCTGACACGATTGTGTGAGTGACTGACCAATGCCGTGATGCCGTCATGATCACCGCAAGAGAGAGGGCTGCGATGCGCTGCGCAAGTCGGTGCCGCTCAGCGCGTTTGGTGTTTTAGTGCCAGGGTTCCGGCTCCAAGCCAGATAGGGGGTCTGTGTCCCATGACTCGCCCAAAACGCCCTACCCGTACTCGAGTACCTCCCTACCTACCCCCAGGCCGCGCAGCGACAGTGCAGCGTGCACTCGAGCTCTGACACCGAGCTCTGCTACCCTTGCGGCGAGGGGAGCGACACAGCGCTCGCCAGGTGTTCATGTGTCGAGAAGCAACTTGTCATATCGGCTGTCTCCATCGGCGCTTGCTTGAGCGCTCTTCGGAGGCCTCGTTGCTGACCGAGTGGGCCGGCGCCCGGCGCTACTCGCCTCGGACCTCCTATTTGGTGCGGGAGGCGCAGCTATGGCATTCGCGACGAAATCCGCCACGTGGCTATTCTTTGTTGGCCGCGCCTCTGTCGGGCTGGCGCTTGGACTTGGTGGCGCAGCGGCCTCTGCCTATCTGGCCGAGATTGCGCCAGCGGCGTGGAGGGTGAGAGGCGACGCCACCGCCACAGAAAGATGGCAAGCCGTTTCCTGAGCGATACTCATTTATAGGGCCGCTTTCTCGAGTTAATGGAGCTGTGCGTGTGTGCGTTGGCTGCCTCGGCGCGTATGCCGTCGCCTACGGACTCGGCGACAGCCGCTGGCGCACGAGCATTGGCCTGACCACCCCTGTCGCGGGGCCTCACAGCTCGTGCTCTCCCTCTGTCTCCTGCCCACCCTTCCTTGCGACCGTTCCTCGATTGCGAGTGCAGGCTGCAGCTGCTGCTGATTCTGCTGCTATTGCACGAGAGTCCGCATTGGCTCACGGCTCACGGCTTCACGCGCTCCGCCGCGAAAGCCCGCGCCGTGCTCGGCCCGCCTACCGCGGTCGTCACCATCGAAGTTGTCGCGGCGGGCAGCGGCGCCGAAGAGGAGTCGCCGCTGATCTGCGCTGGCCGAAGAGGGGCCTTGCGGCATCTCGGCGCGAGGCAGGCGGCGCGCGAGCTCTGGCTGGCACGGCGGCCGCTGGCGGTCGCGCTCGGCGTGGCGACAGCGCACGCCGCGACCGCCGCCAACACGGTGCTCCACACACCGACACAACCCCGGGCCCGAATCACGCGAGGCAGCAACGGGCATACACGGGAACGCCGGGGAAGACAGTCACACATACCAACCGCAAAAAGGTGCTCTACTACTCGAGGGACGTGCTGCAGCTCGCAGGAATGGGTGCGAAATCGCTCCTCTGCTCCACCACCAAACCCGCCTCTGCACCCTTCTGGCCATGCAGCGTTGCCCTCGGTGACCCTTCACGCGCCTTCCGCCCACACCCGCCTGCAGGCGACGCCCTGCTCGCGTCATCTGCGGCGGGGCTCGACAGAGCGGGCAGGGCTTGGGGTCACACCGACCGGAGTGGTTTATTGGCTCTGAGT